GTCCGCCATTTTGAATTGGCGGACCGATTTGGGACGATTTACACACTCCGTACTTTAAACGAACTCCTCCCTAGGGATTTAGTCGTTCAACTTAAAAATTTCTGCTGTACCTTCTGAAGGCATTGACGATGTAAAGTTGTGCTATCTGTGCGTTTTTCGCCATGGGCGTGTCCGTGGCGTCGAAGATTCGCCATGAAACAGGAAGTTGTAGTAACTTGGCTGTAAATGCCCAGATCTGCACGAAATTTTACACATTTGACAAGAGTCCCGCCCTGAACAAATCTACATGCCGACATTTACCCACAGTCATAGCGCCACCTGCTGGCAACAGGAAGTGTCCTTTAACGAAGCAGCCCCCGCCGCTTGTTTGACCGACATGTACGAAATTTCTGTGGTACTTCTACCATGACCAGACGCACAAAAAAGCCTCAAGAACCCATACCCTAAACTCGACAGAAAGTCCGCCATTTTGAATTTGGCGACCGATTTGGGACGATTTACACACTCCGTACTTTAACGAACTCCTCCTAGGGATTTAGTCGGATCAACTTAAAATTTCTGCTGTACCTTCTAAAGCAGTGGTTCTCAAAGTGGGGTCCGCGGACCCCTGGTGGTCCGCGAGCTAAAGCCAGGGGGTCCGCGAAATAATTTACAACCTAACGTTTTTTTTCCATGCTATGAGTCATGTTTTCTTTATCATCTGAAAACATGCTGTTTATTCCTAAGTAACTTATATAAAGCATTTAACATAAAAACAATACAAAGTAGACACTTAAAGTTTTCTATAGATAGATAATCTATATCTGTGCGTCAAGTAGATTCGCTGCTGTTGATTTTGCGGGACGTGCGCCAGAGGAGACAGAGAGACGGCATTAACCCGCATCCGGTTCTTTTCTGTATTTTTAAAAGGCATGACATTTTGTAGTCATTTATAATGTAGCCTATACACAAATAAAAAATGGACACTTTACCGTTTCGGATGATGCACTCTTGTCTTATCTATGACCATAAATAAGAGTATTCCTGTTTCCACTGCTGAGGAAAAATTAATTGCGCGCCGGCGTCTCGCGTGCGCGCACAATAGTCAGTTCTAGCACTGCTACTGTAGATTTGACATTAGAAGTCTGATCATTATCAAAATAAAAGTGCATAGTGACAGGGCCGTACCCACAACTGAGGTTGCAAGGATGCACATCGCGATGATACTGACCTTCTCGTCTGAGGTGCTTCAGCAGACTAACAACGATAGCTCGTCAATGTCAAAATGTTTGAGTCGGAGTGAACTCAAGTTCCCGCACGACGTTTCAGTCAACGGTCATAAAGTGCGAGATAAGATGTAGGCCTTAATTAACATAAACTAAACAGCTGTTTTAGATAAAAGTTTTAAAAAACGACTGAAACAATCAGTTTGCAAGTATTAATCAACTTTAACAAAGGAAAAAGCAGGTCAATAGAAACATACTGTGCCCATGAGATTAACATTATGGATTCATATATTTAACAATACTGTATGTTTTTTTTAGCTAATTACAGTAGCTCAAATTAACAACGCACGCACCTATTAAACATAATGCCATTATCATTGTATTTATAGGCTTATGGGCTTTATTTGTGTGCAGAATAGGCCTAATTATTGAAACATTTCTCTTTAAGGCCATTCCTGATTGGAATATGTGATTGTGTTTCGTGACATCTTGACAAAAAAAAAAAATGTATGCCACTGACTGACATGCTTCTACTAAATCTATAGTTATCCAATTGTGGGGCCTTAAAACACCTTAAATGCACATGTGTAGATCAAGACATCAAAAATTCCTAAGTGAGGGATCCTAACTAAGTGATTCCTAGCAAGATCACTTTCGTTACCTCAGTAGGCTATTTAGAAATTCCTGCATAGTACCCTGGGTGGAGACCATTCATTTTGTGCAAAAATATTTCATTTGCCGCTCACACATTAACTTTGTGCTCAATAACTGTTATAAATATGAGGGGGGTCCTTGGAATTTTTTTTCCCCTGAAAGGGGTCCCTGGCACCAAAATGTTTGAGAACCCCTGTTCTAAAGGCATTGACGATGTAAAGTTGTGCTATCTGCGCGTTTTCGTCGATGGGCGTGTCCGTGGCGTCGATGATTCGCAATGAAACAGGAAGTTGTAGTAACTTGGCTGGAAATGCCCAGATCTACACGAAATTTTACACATTTGACAAGAGTCCCGCCCTGAACAAATCTACATGCCGACATTCACCCACATTCATAGTGCCACCTAGTGGCAAGAGGAAGTGACTTTTAACGAAGCAGCCCCCGTCGCATGTTTGACCGACATGTACGAAATTTCTGTGGTACATCTACCATGTCCAGACGCACAGAAAAGTCTCTTGGAGCGATGCCTTAAACTCAACAGGAAGTCGGCCATTTCTAATTTTACCGCCATTTTTGGATGATTTACTCATTACGTACTTTATAACAAACTCCTCCTAGGGATTTAGTCGGATCGACTTCAAATTTCTGCTGTGCCTTCTAAAGGCATTGATGATGTAAAGTTGTGCTATCTTCACATTTTCGACGATGGGCGTGTCTGTGGCGTCGATAATTCGCCATGAAACAGGAAGTTGTAGTAACTTGGCTGTAAATGCCCAGATCAGCACGAAATTTTACACATTTGACAAGAGTCCTGCCCTGAACAAATCAACATGCAGACATTCACCCACAGTCATAGCACCACCTGCTGGCAACAGGAAGTGACTTTTAACGAAGCAGCAAAGCAAATTCACAGCCACACCGGCTGAACTGCAGAATATGCAACGCGGTCGCCTCACACCCCGACGTGGTACAGGTGCGAGGGCCCGCCCATCGCTGCTTGCAGCTTTAATTTAAATTGTATTGCAGTACTGAATTTTGGCCTCAACTGACAAATATTTGTTCAAATCCTTTTTCAATAGATTTTGCCCAGACCCCTGCAGTGTCAAGTGAAGGAAGCTCCTCTCATGAGATTGCAAAGAGAAATGAAGAAAGCAACAGAATGCTGAAGATTAATCCAGAATTGTGAGTGTCATTATATTTTTAATTCTATTTGCTGTGCAAATTTTAGTACATGACGAATGAACATGAAAAATCTAAACCTATGTGGGCAACCATACAATGCCTTTTTTCAGAACTGGAATTTACATGTGTCGTTGGTGATTGTGTCTTGATTGTTATTAAAGGGATAGTTCACTTTGAAATACATTTTTGATATGTTTTAGCTTACCTCGAGGGCATCTAAGATGTAGGTGTATTTGTTTCCACAGTATTTTAAATTTTGAAATTTTTAGGTCAAACCATTCTTATCTGTCAGTCATATCATGGATGTCTATGGTCACCACCTCAAATGCACAGAGAAGTCCAAATTAAACATGATTTAATGACTCATAAAACATGACTTTTAATGACTAATAAATGTAAGTACACATTGATGGCCTAAGACACGAAAAGAGCGGTTTGTGTGAGAAAACGAACAGTATTTCTATTGTTTTTACCTCTTGTAACCACAGCCACGTACAAGTGATCTGAAGGGACAGGTGCTTCGGTCTGCACAAGCACCGGAAAGTGCCGGAAGTGATCTCTCGCACTGTTGCAGAAAAAAAATGTGCAATTTCCTGTATATCTAAATATGTTTAGATCTTCACAGTGAAGGATAACATTTCTGAAATCTTTGTGTAAACACTGAGTGATGTACATGCGCGAGAGATCACTTCGGGGGCTTTCCGGCGCTTGCGCAGCAGACCGAATCGCCCGCGCCCTCAGAGTACTTGCACGTGACTGTGATTACAAGAGGTAAAAATTGAGTCTGCAATTGTTTGTTCTGTTCATTTAACTTACACCTAGCTTGCTCTTGTGCAATGGATAAACTGTATTCTTTGTAACAACAGATAATGGCTTTCACATTGTTCTTGCGAATACTTGCTCCAAGCACTTTTTTACAATCTTCCATCGACCATACTTTTTCTGGGTGAATGCCAAATTTCTTTGTCAAATTCAATCGGACTGACTGAGTCACTATGGAGTCCATGTGCTCTCCTAACAATGACTTAATTCACTATCTGACCACAATGGAGCGGCAAGGCCACCATTTTGTGAGTTTCTTTGTTATCACACAAAACAACTAACTTTCTCTAAAAAACAGAGGCTACATTTGTTTACACAGATCGACTGTTGTAAACCTTCTTTGACAGAGCAAAGGAAAATCCACAATATTACTAGCACTTTATGCTAACACTTCCTTGTTTGTACAGAGGTTCAAACTTTCATCTCTAAAGTAACTTTTTAGAGGGTAACACCACAAAACAACAACAAACAAACACAAACTATTAGCATGTTACGCTAATCTTCCCTGAAAGAAAATGGAAGGATCTTTGACCTTCCTAAACTTTTAGAGGATAAGACCACAATAACTAGCACAAAAATGCTAATCCTTCTCTGCGAACAGAGGTTATCACCAATATTAACACGTAATGTTAATCTTCCCAAAGTTTAGAGGATACCTTCTCTAGCAACGTAGAGGCACTATTCCATTAAACAAAACTTCCCTGACTTATTCAGAGGATATCTTACAACTTCCCTGACTTATTCAGAGGATCCCAAAATATTAACATTTAATGTCAATCTTCCCTGCCTGACAACAGAGGATATCTTTCATCTTTAAAAGACAACTTTTAAAGAATAACTTTAGTTAATCAAACACTACAGCTTGTCTGATAACTCTCTGATGGCGCAGAGGCACAACTCTGGTACTGGTCTGGTTCTTTTTTTAATAGAGTGAAAACTCACCAAATCGTTGCTTGTATGAAAAGATTCAGTCTGGACCTCAGTCAGAAAAGTTCTTTTTGTTCTTGTTCTGGAACTCAGTCCGCTTTGTTGATCTTGTTCTGGAACTCAGGTAAGATTTCTCTGTTGAAATCTTTTGTTGCAGTTCTTGATTCAGGTAAGATTTCTCTATCCGGGTCACGGCACCATCTGTAGTGAAGTTTTTCTTCTTCCACGCAACAGACCAGGAGACTCTTGAGGTATCTTTCACGCAGAAGTTCTTTATTGCGTAGCTGTAGTCATCTCAAGGATAGTCTAACTCAGAGAGAATATTCCCTTACAATTTATACATTTAGAGGGGAGGAGTTTACATCGAGAGGGGAGAAACTGAAACAAAAGTAAATGTATATGATTCAACAGGCACCTCAGTTCATCAGCATAGCAGTTTTCTGTGCCTTGAGATGCTAATCTGGAGGAGTTACATTGAGGAGGAGTCTCTTGAAACAAAGCAAATGTAAATGATTCAGCAGATTACCAGAGACGCTAATCTAATCAGTCTGACCAGCGTGGTCACACTTTTACCATTACAAAAGCAAAGCTGAATCTTGAACTTAATGGCCAGGAAGCGCATAAAGACAAAAGCTAATGTGTGACAAATGGAATGCTAGGCTTAATCTTATTGGCCTCAAAATGGTAAACACTGTATACATTTTACAGTTGAAAATACTGTTAAACCTTAATGAAACATTTAATAAATTTGAATTCCTTCACATTTACGAGTCATTAAATCATGTTTAATTTGGACTTCTCTGTGCATGCTCTTTGAGGTGGTGACCATAGACCTGCATTATATGACTGACAGACAACAACGGTTTGACCGAAAAATATCAAAATTGAAAATACTGTGGAAACAAAGACACCTACATCTTGGATGCCCTTAAGGTAAGATAAAACACATCAACAATTTATTTCAAAGTGAACTATCCCTTTAATAATGGCATGGTGATTGGTGTGTCTTCATGAATTGTGTAAATTCAAAATATTAAACTGCAAAAAGTTAGTTAGGGTTAGTTGTCCCAAAAGTGTAAAATTGTCTTTTCAAACCCTCGTGTCATTCCAAACCTGGAAAGACTTTTGTTCATCTTTGAAATTTAAATTAATGTATTTTAAATCGGAGTGATTTCTGTCCCGCCATTGTCAGTCCACGCAACTACCATTTTGACAGGCCATAATGTAGGTTTCAATGAGGTCATAAAGAGTTCATAAATCTAACCAATATAAATTGAGCTATATGAAAAAAGAGACTCTCGCTTTGTGATGAATAGATTGAATTTAGACTTTTATTCACATATAAACATAAATCAACTAACATAAACAGAAGAAAAATAAAATTTGGACTAAACTGCTTGGTTCATATGGAGTAGTTTTAAAGATCTCTTTATGAACTTTTTGAAGTGTCAAAGTTGTGTAGCTGTCAGTGGAGGGACAGAAAGCTCTCAGATTTCATCAAAAATATCTTCATTTGTGTTTCAAAGATGAAAGAAAGTCTTGCGGGATTGGATTGAAATGAGGGTGAGTAAATTACAGAATTAAAATTTTTGAGTGAACTAACCCTCTAATAAAAGAATGTGGCCTAGACCTCATCAGAACAATCGAATCAATGCGTAAGGGGGGCGTTTACACCTGTACTTCGAGTTGTTCACTTGTGCGTCACCAAAGACGAACTGCGTTGCCTGGCACTGAGCGAGATATGGTTATCATTATGCTATGTAACTGTTGATTGTTTTTTTGTTTTTGATTTTTGGTTAGATCTCAGCTTAGTTCCTGGAAATGCTTCTCCTAAGAGCTTCAAGGAACTGATTGACTCTGCTGTGAAAGATGATTAAACTGATTATTCAGGTAAGACTATAGTTCAGAATAAGATTATCTAAACACGTTCATGCATTTTTTTCAAGTTGTCACATCTTCTCTCATCTGTAATTTAGAATGGGGCAGCGATCTTGCATCAATTTGTCTCCTCCTTGATTTGATTCCACCACCCTGGAAAGACATGGAAAGATGTGCTCATATCAAGCTGAACAACACCTTGTTGTCTTCAAAATGGTAAATTTGGACATTTCTGTAACTATTTATTGTTTGCCTCAAAATATTGCCATTTGAGTTGACTTCATTGTGGAAAACTATAAAGACCGCCAATTGGAGAGCTGACTTTGATTTGTTTGTTTTTTTGTCTTTGGCAGAGACCAGCGTACAAGAACACCTTGATTGCATTGAACCGACCACACAGCATACTTGCTTGCTGCCGGTGGAGATCAACTCAAATACTACTATACCTGCTCGCTGATGGGACAAAGAGGGACTGCATTCATGGATGCTACACAACTGTTGACAAGTAGATTTTTGCAATCTTGTTCAAATTTACCTGTTATATTTGTTAATGTATAGGCAAACTGGGTGATTTTATGCTTTTTCCCTTTTCTCTTTTTTTTCTGCTAAACTCCTAATGAATGTGACAATTTGACTTTTTTTTACATATGGCATATGTTTTAAAGGAGCCACTTTGCCATTTGTTGAATAAACTTTGGATTTGTACATCTGTCTAAAGAGTCTTGATTTTATGTCTAAGCTTGTACAGTAAAGTAACACTATATAATAGTGTAAATAGTTTTTGCACTGAACAGAATACTTTTATAAATTACACTTATAGTGTAAAATCCAATGAATTTGAATCAACACCAGGGGTGTTAAAACCACAGAGTGTAAAAAATTTAAGTGTAAAATTTAACACTCACAGTGTAATTTTGCTGTATTGTGTACGGTGCTGTATTAACACTGTAAATTCTACACTACAAACAGTGTACTTTTTACTCTAGATAGAGTGGGACCATATATGATCCGGAGTAGTGTTAAAATTAACACTTAAAGTGTTAATTTGACACTGCATTTTTTACTGTGTAGAGACATAGAAAAGGGCTGCACAGTTTTGCAATAAATAATAATAAATAAAATTATAAAATATTGTAATTGCAATTAAATTAGATTTGTGTGTGGCAGCTGCATGTACAATTTTTATAATTAATAATAATAAAAACAGTATTAATAATACAAATGAGCTTAAAATAAGAATTTTAAAGGATTTATTGCATTAAAAACAGGCCATATTTTTAATAAATAAACAAGTTATCATTTATAGTACACTAAATTTTAAACATTTTAAATTCCAACATTGTTTGTGAAAGTCTAATAAAGTTAAATGTATACTCAAACCTGAAAAGTTGTGTGGCTCCGTTTTCATTTGATTATCTTTCATTCGATTAACACTGTGTTACAACCAACCCCGCTGTGTATTACATATTTTAAACCTAGCTAACAGTCGCTAGGAATTGCTGACATGTTTCAAAACGGTGCTATGTTTGAGCCAACAAGACAGTGATTAAGGCAATATAAAGTTAGATTTGGAAGCGTATACACCCAACTCAGAAACCGAAAAAACCCTATGATGAAAAAATGTACTTTGGTGTCAAAACACTCTTTGTCCATGTAGAGAATCTCGGCTTAAGGTTTATAGCTCAATTTGAATTCAGGGGAAGAATATTCCAAAATTAATGATCTGGATCAGCAACTTATAGAATATTCGTTAAACCGAGTTTCTCACATAAATTAAATCACCCAACGAGGGGTGCGTCACAACACACGTCTGCTTCAGGTATATATGACGAAATTAAACACAACGAATTATGATTAATTTGGAGCATATATTTTCCACAGATCGGGGCTGTTTGATCTTTAAGACTACAAGGATTACACAGTTTTCTCAGCCAGCGCGCCCGCGTGCGGATCTGTAAAACTATCAATCACTTGATCTGTTTAGCTTAATTTTCTGACAATGTTTTGTGCACTCAACAAAATCAGATTGTAGCGTTAGGATCTAATATTAAAGAGGCTTTGTTATGTGATTAATACAAACAATGGCAAAGAATGTATAAATGAGTTTAATAAAAGCACACGACTAAGTTACACTACAAAAATCACACGATATACAGTATGTGTGACGCTGTGCGGAGAAACAGAGCTGAGGCTGGGTCCAAACGCAGTGTAGCTTTATTAAACAAACTTAAAACAAGACACTAGAAGCAAGACTCGAGAGACGTGAAAGCACCAACGTAACACACATAAATTCAATAACCAACAAAGACAGGGCAGAATAACAGGGCTTAAATAATAAGGACAAACGAGCTAGACAAGATAACAAGGGGGCGTGAGAAATGAGAAACACCTGGGATAAATAATAGACTGGCAATAACTAATAACGAAAACACACAAAATCACTTCGTGACATAGCCTCCCCCCTATGGGCGGCTCCCGACGCCCATACAAACATCAAAAAGTTCAGGAGGGCGGTGAAGCGGAGACAGTCTTGGGGGAGGGACGGAGGGCCAGGCCCGTGCAGGGGAACAGGACCAGGAGGTAGCCAAGGCGGGCCTGGGCCGCAGAGCATGGGCCTACCAGACTGGGCCGGAGACCAAGGCGGAGCAGGACGAGGCGGAGGCCAGGGCGGAGCAGGACGAGGCAGAGGCCAGGGCGGAGCAGGACGTGAAGGCGGCCAGGGCGGAGCAGGACGTGAAGGCGGCCAGGGCGGAGCAGGCTCAGGCAGAGACGAGGGCGAAGCAGACTCAGGTGCGGTCCATGTCAGTGCCGCCTCCATGGCCCCCACAGAGTACCTACTGCCCCCCCCCCAAAAAATACTTGGTGAAATTCACGGGAGGAACCTCTGGGTGGTGAACGGGTACAGGAAAGGCCTCCCGGAGCTTGAAGGGTGCAGGCAGAGCGAAGTGCAGAGGCGGGGCCGGCAGAGCGAGGCGCAGAGGCGGGGCCGGCAGAGCGAGGCGCAGAGGCGGGGCCGGCAGGGCGAGGCGCAGAGGCGGGGCCGGCAGGGCGAGGCGCAGAGGCGGGGCCGGCAGAGCGAGGAGTCTGGGCACGCTCACCGGGGCCTGGCGAACCAAACGAGTCCTCCTTCTCCTCCTGCGGCGGCGCGTCACAGGGCTAGACACACTCGCTGGGCTGGACAACTCACTCACTTGAAGAGGAGATGCAGCGCTCACTTGAAGAGGAGATGCAGCGCTCACTTGAAGAGGAGATGCAGCGCTCACTTGAAGAGGAGATGCAGCGCTCACTTGAAGAGGAGATGCAGCGCTCACTTGAAGAGGAGATGCAGCGCTCACTTGAAGAGGAGATGCAGCGCTCACTTGAAGAGGAGATTCAGCGCTCACTTGAAGAGGAGATTCAGCGCTCACTTGAAGAGGAGATTCAGCGCTCACTTGAAGAGGAGATTCAGCGCTCACTTGAAGAGGAGATTCAGCGCTCACTTGAAGAGGAGATTCAGCGCTCACTTGAAGAGGATCACTCACTTGAACTGAAGATTCACTCACTTGAACCGGAGACTCATCCACTTGAACTGGAGATTCATCCACTTGAACTGGAGATTCATCCACTTGAACAGGAGATTCATCCACTTGAACTGAAGATTCACTCAATTGAACAGAAGACTCATCCACTTGAACTGGAGATTCATCCACTTGAAAAGGAGATTCATCCACTTGAACAGGAGATTCCCTCGCGGGGCTCACGTGAATCGCGAGTTCGGCTGGGCTGAAGTGAAGCGCGGGCTCGGCTGGGCTGACGTGAGTCGCGGGCTCGTCAATGCGCACGTGAAGGGCGGGCTCGTCGTGACTGACGTGAACCAGCGGTGAAGACGACGAGGGCTTCGCGGGTAAAGTACACTCGGCAGGTGTCGAGTAGAATAAGTGCGCAGTAGTGAAGAGGTCCTGCAAGGAACAAGCCCGAGCGACATACCCGTCAAGAGTCCAGTTGGCAAGGTCCCGCGGCATCCATCGAGCGATCTCATAATCCAGCCCATTCAGAAACAGGCCCATGAGCTGGATATCATCTAGCGCTCCCACACTGCTAATGGACAGGAACTCCTTCGCGTACCTTTGGACAGACCGGCCCTCTTGCAAGACTGACGACAGGTATTCTGTCATAGCCCGGTTGCTGACGACTGCTGGACCCATATTGAGGTTGGTTGTTCTGTGACACTGTGCGGAGAAACAGAGCTGAGGCTGGGTCCAAACGCAGTGTAGCTTTATTAAACAAACTTAAAACAAGACACTAGAAGCAAGACTCGAGAGACGTGAAAGCACCAACGCAACACACATAAATTCAAACAACCAACCAAGACAGGGCAGAATAACAGGGCTTAAATAATAAGGACAAACGAGCTAGACAAGATAACAAGGGGGCGTGAGAAATGAGAAACACCTGGGATAAATAATAGACTGGCAATAACTAATAACGAAAACACACAAAATCACTTCGTGACAGTATGTATACACAAAATGAAAGTGAAACTAAAAAAGGAAAACAAGGGAAAATGGAAATACGAAGAAAATTACAGTTACTAGCACAGCTTTAAACCTTCAGAGACAACCACAGGATTATATCTTGAGTCTCAAAATTAAATGTGAACACTTGCATTCAGACCTGTGTTGGTGATGGAAGCGTGTGGTCGTCCAGGCGGCTGATTCCTTTGTTCTCCCCACGTGGGTGTGTTTCGCGGGAGTTCAAAGCGAGTTTGTGCTGGATGGTGTCTTCTTGTTGGAGAAGGCACACGTACGAACTTTAACTGGCTATTCGCAAAAGTAAACGAAGTAAAAATAACGAAAACTGATAACTTTAAAAAGCTTCAGAAGACGCCGAGAGTGTCCAAGGAATTCCGGAAGGAGGTCAGGGGTAAGAGGTCAAGATTGTAAGAGGGACGAGATAAGAGAGGTAAGAGGTAAGAGCAAGAGAACAAGAAAGCGATGATTCTATGGCGAGATTTTTTCAAGGGTGTTTCGGGACTTCCTCTAGAACTCAGATGGCCAATGAGCGTCACGCAAATGAAGGAGCGCGCGCCCACTTGATAAGCATAACACGTTGTTAATCTTGGTTCTTAAGACAAAGGAAAAGTTCTGCTAACTTTGAAAACAAACTTATACATGATGGTATACATTTACAATATCGATATACAGTTTAAAAAGCAGATCATGCTATGAGGATTACAAAGACATCAAACACATTGAACTATTTTGACAGCATTGTTGAGTTACATATTTGAAGCATTGTATTCCAGATATTCCAACTTCTTTGTCACTCATGGGTACGTTTAAAGTTGAAATAGTGAATTACAGTTCTTTTACATGCATTTCAGCATCCTAGGTAACTATTATATTAACTATTAACTATTTCAGTATACTAGGTAATTTTTGGTAACCCTTTTACAAGCTTTCAGAGATGTCCGTGTTTGTGTGCGTGCAGGAATGTTCAGCGTGCGGACGCGTTGATGTGTGTGTGTGTGTGTGTGTGTGTGTTGCACGTAGGTGTGGGTCAGCGGGTCACACGTATATTGCGATAGAACAAACGAAGTCTGGTTAGTCTCCAGAGTTCCCTCGCTTTTGGAGGTGTCAAAGGATCAAAAGAGAAAAGCGCTGGCTCTGATCGCAAATCAGATTACCTGCGTTGCAGGCGGATGACGCTGCCTCGCGATGTCTCCGTCTTTATCATTCGTCATAATAA